CCAGGCCTCCACCCCACATTCCCACAGTCCCTGAACCCCAGAGGCAGTACCTAGGCTCTGGGTCCCAGTGGCTGAGGCCAGGGCTTTTCCCTGGGCACCTGATTTTGACCATCCAGTTCTGTTCATTGAGTCTCAAGGCTGGGAGACAGGAGGAAAGAGCGAGAGTGGCAGGCATCTGGCCCTGACAGACTTAGCCCTCTCTTCACTCATGGTTCCAGAGAGCTGGATCTTAGCGGGAGTTCAGTTCACACTCACACCCCCATCCTCCATGACACAGGGAAGGAGGGGTCCTTCACACCAGGGAGTGCCTGAGTGAGGGTGAGCACCATCCTCAGGACCCTCCCTCCCCTTCCCCGCCTGCCCTTTTAGCCCAGCCTCACCTCTGAGCAGCTCATAGGCACGCCCCACGTTGAACTTGCGTGCCCGGATGAAGCGCAAGAAGAAGGTGCTGTCCCTTCCCTGCACCCTCTGGGCCACCGCCTGGGCCAGCTCTTCCCCTGCTGCTGCCTGCTCCTGCACCAGCTCCTGCAGCTCTTGAACCGCCGCCGCCCGAGTCTCCTTCCGCTCATTCAGCTCATCCTTGGCCTGGAACACAGACCATGGTGGGGACACAGTGGTGTGTGTCCACATGGTGGAGCAGGATACTCATGTACGTGGTAAGTGGCTCCGTCCTGCAAGACCGGCTGCAGGGGCTGCCCTGCACTGGCCCCCGCGCCCCCCCCACCCCATCCACTTCCACCCACAAGGGCAGCAGCTACACTACTAGCCACTCAGATGGTTCCACTTGGATGAAAAGCGAGATGAAATGGCTCATGGTAGCAGAACTCCCTGGTGGCTCCCTGGTTAAAGCGCTCTGCTGCCAATGTAAAAATCAGCAGCTCAGATCCAACAGGCTCTCCAGGGCAGGAATCCTCCTGGCAGCAGTGGACTGCCTGGGGGATGGACTTGCTCATGGTAGGATCATTTGCCGGATGTAACCAGCAGCCTTGATATTTCCAGTAATAACAGCTTCCACTTGTTTAGAATACAGCCCTTGCTTAAAAAAAAAAAAGGAAAACCTAAACTCATGGCTGTTGAGTCATTTCTGACTCATCACAACCCTGTAAGGCCGAGTCGAAACGCCCCCCCCCCTCCTTTCTGAGATGACACCTCTTTAGGAGGGCCAACTGCCTCATCTTTCTCCCATGGAGCCACTGGTGAGTTTGAACGGCTCACCTGTGGGTAGCAGCCCACCCTTTAACTCGCTGTGCCACCAGAGCTCTGGAGTCTTTTAACCATATTATGTGTTTAATTTTGCTATAACCCATCGCAGTTGGTATTCTCATCCCAGATGAGAATGCTCATTTCCAGATGAACAGACACAGGCCCCTAGAAGTGAACATTCGTGCCCAGGTTCATCCAACTACAAAGAGGTCTTGCTGGGATTCCCTCTGTGCCCTTCCGGGTTCCTTTGACCTTGTCAGAAACAAGACCATCCAGCAGGGCAGCCTGCCCACTTCAAGGTATGCTTCTCCTTGCTGATCCAGAAGAGCTCATCAGCACCCATATAGCCACGGGACAGCCCTCTCTGCGGCGTGACAGAAGAAGACAGGGGAGGGAAGCCAGATACGGGGCGATAACAGCACCTTCCCCTTGAGATGCTCAGAAGACAAGGTTTGACTTGGTCCCTCAGGAATGATGCAGGCCAGAGATTCTTATAAATGGTGGATGGTGGCAGGGGGGTGGGGGCAGGGGGGACCCATAGCTCAGACTCAGCTCAGCTCCACTTCATCATCCCAGCACTCAGTCCCAGAATCTCTCTGCCGGCGGCGGCGCACACAGAGCCGAGTCTGAAAACCTCTGAGCTAGACGCACCACTTTCTTTCACAGGCACCGAAGGTGAGACTCGGGGAAAACATCTTCAAAGTCCCACAGCAAGTTGGGAAAGGGTCCGAAGAATCCAGAACCCAGGCTTCTTGGCAAGACAGTGGGGGGCAGCAGTTGGATCTAGTCCCTCAGGGTCACTTTGCTCCTTACATCTGAATCCAGGCTGATCCCTGATCTAGACTCACCAGGCACTAGCGTCGCTTTCAGAGAACCCTAGAGATCCAGCATCTTTAGGCTATACTGGCCTGGGTGTCGCTGCGATGGCCTTGACTTCCAGGATGGCCCCTAGAACGGACTCCCAGGGTGACCTGGAGAGCGGAAACTGGGCCCGTGCTAGCCGGCCTCACTCTGCCCCTTGGGCTACCTCACCTTTTGCAAGGTATGTCGGGGCAGCTGGCTACACCGGCCAAAGACAGGTCCATGGTCCTTGATGGTAAGCCTCTCCATCTGGCAGTGAAGATCCTGTTCATCCTCAGGTACCATGCGGAATGTGCCCACCTAGGCAGTGGAGACAGGAAGAGGCAGGAGCAGGTCCAGATTGGCTTGAGCAAACCAGGCAGGGGGTCTGCTCAGACCCAAAGCGGGTTGTCTTGCCCAGGGTCTCTGTTAAGGCTCCCTGCCACTGGAGTGGGGGCTGGGGCTAGGACCGCAGAGAGGTCCCAGGTGTGCGCTCACTCCCCTCGCAGAGCAGATGATAAAGAAACAGGAATGGTGAGAAAGAAGGAGAAAAGGTGAGTGGGGAGAGCCTTGGGGCTCAGGGGTACTCACCCCCTCCGACATGTTGCCTCTGCAAGACACTGAACCTTCAGAAGAAGGGTCTCACGGCCTCTGTCCTGACCCCTCCAGGTAGCCCCTGCAGTGGGGGAGGGGGGAAGGAGGGTGGCGGGACTTCAGAGTGTTTGGAGAAACATTCCATTACCCTTTTAAGCCATCAACTTAAAATTTCTCCATCAACTTTCTGGAGCTCCCTCACAGGAGAGATGCTGTTCTGTTCTGGCCTCAGGACAGTACCTCAGGCATTTGTTAGAAATGCAGATGCCTGGGCCCCACCTGCTTCCCGCCTGACTCAGGGGGTCTGGCCTGAAGCCAGGTGTGGTCTGGGCTAACCCCTGGGAAGCACTGCAAACACCGGACCCCTCAGCCCACAAGCCTGGAAAACGCTTCGCGGCCTCCATCACTTCAGGCAAAGGGAAGTGAAGGATCCAACAGCCTGCCCCGCTGCCCTGGCCCAATTGCGCCATGGCCCATTCTGGGCCACCAGAGCAAATCTCCTCCATCGCCCACGTGACCACCTGCTCACCACCTGGGTGTTTTGGGAGGTAGCACCTCTGTTTTCAGGATCCCCCCTCCCCCACCCGACCTAAACATTCCCAGTTCCTTTGAAGACCCTTCACCATCTTACTCTCAAATCTCATCCGGTTCGTGGGTTATTCCTAGCATGTAGTCGCAGTTGTGAAGTGGCCCCACTGGGACTTGAACCTGTGTTTGCCTGATAGGGAGCTAGTTCGCTTTGACACCAGTCCCAGGCAGCTCCAGGCCAACGACAAAGAGAGCTGGGGTTATAGAACTGCTTTAGGATCAAAGACCCCTGGATTGGGGTCTGGGTTTATTATTTTCCACCCATGTGACCTGAAGCAATTTTTCAACATTTCTGAACCTCAGTTTCTATAAATTGGGAATGTTAATGACCCCCGGCCTCAAAAAATACCCCCAAACTAAACTGAACCTGTTATTTTCAAGTCAATTCCAAGTCGTGGTGACTCACGTGCTTCGGAGCAGAGCTGCATTCCATGGGATTTTCAGAGGCTGGTTAGTCAGATCCCGATTGATATCTGCAGGGCTTGCTAACAAAGTGCCCCTGGGTGGACTCGAACCAGCAACCTTTTGATCAGTAGCTAAGCGCTTAATTATTTCCCTACCCAGGGATACCTTGGAGATAACAATACACGCACTGCCCTTAAACTGATTCCTTAAGCTGTGGCGGCCCTGTGTGTGGCAGACCAGAATTGCCCGAGAGGGTTTCTGGCTGTGACCTTTCTGGGAAAGGGGGCCCTGTTGGCACAGCCGGTGAAGTGTCAGGCTGCTAAAGGAAAGGTCCGCCTTTTGCACCCACCAGCTCCTCGGGAGAAAGATGGGCAGTGTGCTTCTGTTAAGATATGTAGTCCCCATGCCCCTGGGGGCAGTTAGTTCCACTCTGTTCTAGAGGGTCCCTACAACTTGGAATTGACTTGACGGTAGTACAGAATCTTTGCCGAAGCTGAGCAGCGGGCCTTTCTTCCATGCCGCTGGACAGATTCAAATCACCAGCAGCAGCGCTGAGCTGAGGAGTCAGTACAAGCTGGCTCCCCCACCCAGAGGCCTCAGGGAATCATACCAAATCCACTGCTACCAAATGTGTGCCACCAACTCACTAAGACTGAGGCTTGAGGGTTTCCAAGACCATACATCTTCACAGGGACAAAGGGCCTTCTCATTTGTCTCCCTCAGAGCGACCGTGGGTTTGAACCCTGTGCTCAGCCCAACACAACTCACAAGACTGCGAGAGCTCTTTGGGGAACGAGAATGACCCCTAACTGAAAACGCTCACTGCTTTGAGGCAACACTGACTCAGAGCAAGCCTCTGGGACAGGCTGGAACTGCCCCCACGAGTTTCTGAGGCGGGAACACTTACTAAGAGAGTTCTACGGACTGGAGAGAATTTCTGTGATGCACCTGTCGCAGCACACTTCTCTAACAGCATCTCCCTCGCTGTCTTCCCTTCGCCTCACACTGCCCTACTCCTCGTTCCCATCGGAGAGGAGGACGTTCCAGGGCAGGGCCGGCTCTCTCCCATCTCAAGTCTCCCCACTTCACAGCCACAACGAGGGCCGTGGAAGGACAGGGCTGCAGTCAGCCCACTGTGACCAAATCCAACCCTTCTCCCTGCCTGGTGGAGTTTCGCAGATGTGAACCCAGAGAGGACTCACTCACTCACTGCCCGTGGGTCACTCCCAACTCACGGCGACGCGACAGGACAGGGTCGAACTGTTCTTGTGGGAGATCCAAGATGGCGACTCTTTACAGGAGTTGAAAGCCTCACCTTTCTCCCATGTTACGATTGATGGTTTGGAATTGCTGACCTTTCAGGATGAAGGCCAACGTTGAAGCCACCACACCCCCAGGGCACCTCCCTGCTCCGTGCTCTCTTAGGTTTTACCGAGAAAGGGAGGCTGAGCACAACTTCAGGAGCTCACACCAGAAGATGGTGTGCTGGGGGTTGGCAGCGAGCTGAGCGACCACTGGGACAAGGTGCTAAAGCTCCAACTCCATTCTCTTGGCCATAGAAGGTTCCAGTCAGAGCTGGGCCACCCTTCTGTTCACCAAGTGGTGAACAGGGATTTTTAATCATCCTGATTTCCCTGCTACTTATTAGACCCAATGGGAAAACGCCCATCACTGGCTCCCTTTGGAGCGAATCATGCCCGAATCAACATGATGCCAATGGGCTTTTGGTTTTAGCCTGCAGGGGACACACGTATTCCCGGAGAACAATGAGCACTGGGGACATCCTGAACCGAGGGCTCGTTGTGTCGCTGCGGTTCGCCTTTGACTGGGCACCCTGGATTGTCATTCCATGACTCTGCCTTCAGGTGGACCTGATGTGATTTCTGTTCATCCGCCACCTGGAATGTGGTGTCCCCACGCCTCACTCCAATCCTGGCTCCTTGGGGTTGACTTACCTCCCAGGTCAGCAGCTCCTCCTCAGGGCCACCTGGTGCTCTGGTCCTCACCGAGGCTGCTTCTGCCAGGGGCATGGTCCGGTCAGCAGCTTCAGATTAGTGTTTCATAAGGACGTTCTCACCACCCACAGTTTTCCGCTCAATCTGGGCTTACTGGGAGGCCCAGCGCAGGGGCAAGGAGGGAGGGGAGCGGCCCAGGCCCAGCTGAAGGCCATCAAAGGCCTCCTTTGTCCATGCTGCTCCCAGGGTCTGCGCAGCCATGTGGAAGCCAGGTCATAAGGGTGGGATTTAGGCCAGCGCCATTCTCTTCTCCCTGGCCTCCCTCCCCCCATCGCCTGGATGAACATTCCGAGGTTAGAAACACAAAGGCAAGAGCAAACGAAAATGTGCCTGTGGCACCCAGGCCCGCTTCCCTTCCCACCCTCGCCTGGGCCAGTTGAGCAGTGTCAATGGTGAAGGTTGAGCCCAGAGCAGACGAGAGGGCCCCACCTGCCTTCTAGCCAGTGTGACATCACGACCAGGGCATAGGCTCCAGACCAGAGCATCCTCTCTCTAGTAGCTCCTCTCTCTGATAACAAGTTCTTCACCATTCAGTGACTCGCTGGCTTCCTCCCCTGAGGAGGGGGATGGCCAGAGGACCAGGCTCACAGCTTTAGTGGGGAGGAAATGACTCTAAAGGCTTTCACTCAACACCTGGCCCGTAGCAAGAGTGAATCTTGGCAGTTCTACCACAAACAAGATCCGTAGGTGGAGGAAACTCATTATTCAACCCTCTAGACCAGTGGTTCTCAACCTGTGGATTGCGACCCCTTTGGGGGTCCAATGGCCCTTTCACAGGGGTCACCTGATTCATAACAGTGGCAAAATAACAGTGATGAAATGTCAATGAAAATAATTGTATGGTTAGGGGTCACCACTGCATGAGGAACTGTATGAAAGGGTCACGGCATTAGGAAGGTTGAGAACCACTGCTCTAGACAGCAAGAGAGTCCTGCTTCAAGGCAGAGCTGGGGATGTGGGAAGTAAGTGATTCCTTTAGAGCATTCTCAGCCCAGGACTCCAAGGACAGGAAGCTTCCTGTTTCGGCTTTTGGACAATCCTCGTTGTCAAACTCATGCTTGGTGTGGGCTCCTGAAATGCCGCTCTTCATCTGGGCTTTGCCTCTTGGAGCTTCCCAGGACACGGTCCACCTCCCGTGCACAAGGCTTTGAAGGTCATTCTTCTGAACCTATTCTAAGAAATGCTTTGTGTCCTTCCCAGGAGTGGGACCGCTCCATGTACACCCTCTGCACACCCCAAATGTCCCAGGGCTACTACTGAGAGTGTCACTGGTGTGGAGCTCCCTGAGACCACACCTCCCCCTCACCTCTCTCTCCTGCCTCCAGAGCAGGCTTCCATGCCTGGGGCTTGGACCTGGGAAGGCTAAGAGTGCTTTGCTTCCAGCAGGCCCTCTTCTGGGCCTCTGACTGCCTGTTGGGTGGGGTGGGGTGGGGGGCTCCCTTCTAAATCTCCTCTGAGGTCAAGGGAGCCCTCATTCCTATCTTTCTGCCCCCTGGTGGTCTAGTCCTGGACTGTTCGGCACAGGAGCCACCGGCCACAAAGAACAGTACAGCCCTTGAAATTGTTGAGTACAGCTGAAGACCTCTTTATTGAAAGAAACATGAAAATGTAAAGCTCTGGCCTTGACCCCCATCTACGTCTATCCAGCTTGAGGGCAGGGCTTCGTCTGTCTAACCCTTCCCTGAAGACTTCTGAGCTCGTCCACGTATCCCACATCAAAACGACCGTGCTGGCATCCTCAAGAGACTCAAATCATCATACACTGTGGTGCTCTTGGTGTTTTGGGAACAAAAGCCAGTCTGAAGGGGCAAGATCAGGGTGGATGAGGTACGGCCCAAAAAATGATGGCTGTCCCAAAAAATGAGCAGGTGTGTTATTATGATGCAAAATAATAGCTCAGCACAACCTTCCTGGCCTTTTCCTCACCAAGGCAGTGAAGATTGATTATAAGACTTCTGCATAATGAGCCCTCCTGATTATCCTGTGTCCTTTGAGAAAGTATATCACAATTACCACTTTGGAATCCCCTTAAAATTACCATAACCTTCTGTGTTGACTTGTCTACCTGCCTCAGCAAGCCCCCCTCAGAAGTCACTGTTGTGATCAGACTTGTTTTGTTTTTATACTACACTTTATTTTTCTTAAAATACAGGCCCTTTTTTTGAGAATGATGTACAAATGCACTTTACACAATTGATATGTGTATGGATTGCGATAACAGTTGTATGAGCTCCTAATAAAATGTTTTTTTTAAAAATACAGGCTTTTTAAACACAATATATTTTACACCATTTATTTCAATTATTTGTAGTCTGAATGAATCCTGTTATTTGATCATTTTAGTTATTAAGAGTCCTTTATAGAGAACAAGTATTGACATTGACCTTAGTTCAAATAGTACTGGTAACTACTATTGTCCTTAAGGTTGACAGAGCTTTGTATGTACAGTCAAGTTTTGGGAAAAGTTCAGGTACAATCTAGGAATTTGTGGTTGGTTTTGAAGACTGGAATTGTCCTGCTTCAAATTTTTCTTTAAATTTTAAGTAGTCTCTTTTTTTTTAAATCAATTTATTGGGGCTCATA